CCACTAGTCGAATTATAAGGCCAATATTGTATACGATAATTTTGATTATCAGCAATATATAAATTTTGATTTTGATCTACATATACACCTGTCGGTTTTTTTAGTGCCCCTGAGGCTAATCCAGCTGATCCGTTTGAATAACCGGCAATTGTACTGCCATTTGATGAATTTGGTAACCATTTCTGTATTCGATTATTACTAGCATCAGCAACATATAAAATATCATTACTACCAATAAATATGTCATATGGCCAATACAACTGATTTGGTGCTGTACCATGAATACCATTAGTATCTCCAGCTACTGTTACTCCTGTTGTATTCCACCGAAGATTAGTTACACCTGTATGTGAAAGAACACAACTTGACTATATTTACAATATGAAAGCCAGCGCATCGAGAAAGGTTGTTTAATGCAAACACAAAGGAGGATTTTCTCTTTTAAAAGTACAGTTTTGATAGTTCTCAGACAAATATTTTTCGTTAAAAGTAAGGCGCGCGTAATTCGAAGTTACAGCACTATATACTTTTATTGTTAGATAGAACTGTTCGAGCTGATCAAGAATATGTTGGTTTTAACCTTACGAACTAATTTTTTCAATGAGGAAATTGAAAAATACGGGAAGGGTTCTAAATTTCAAAAAATCGTTCTGGCACGTAAAATTCGAATAATTTCTTCTATATTCATTTGGGAACTCTGCTGTTTCGTTTTTCTGATTCAGCGCATAGAACTGAGCCTAAATCTATTATGTACAGCTTTATCACATATAACATGGTCAAATTAAAAACTTATTTACTAACGTAGGTTAAAGTGTACTAACGTTTTTGCACATCCTATCTAGTTTTTTTTTGTTACAGTCATTTTGCACTGTTTTCGATTTACCTTTACATGAGCAAAAATAATATGGAGAGCTCCTTTTGAAATTCCTTTCTGTTGCAGAAAAGATTCATTCTTTCTAAATCAGAAGCGAAAACGTCAGAATTCTGACCGTAATTCTCAATTTCATCATCAGAACTCACGTTTTGTGCAATAAAAGTATCATATTCAGAATCAGGATCAAAAACTGAGTGGACCAATGGGTATTTCGAAATTTTTACTTGATTTTCATTTCTTGGCGAAACTCTCAATGAAATTTTTCAACCTGAAAATTCGACAAAAGCTAAAGTAATCGGACAGGATAGAAATACCCATTGGTCGACTCAGTTTTTGATCCTGATTCTGAATATGATACTTTTATTGCACAAAACGTGAGTTCTGATGATGAAATTGAGAATTACGGTCAGAATTCTGACGTTTTCGCTTCTGATTT